TGGGTCTTAATAACATCGTACTCTAATTAACAAAGTTCACAGAACGAACTGTAAAGTTCTATATCCGGAACGCATTGGCCAAGTTTTGATAGCAATTATTCAATTATGTGCCGGGTTGAAGTGGTCAAATTTACCAGACAAGAGCGTACTCGAAATAAATAAACAAAAAAAAAATGCGAAGTGATTGACAACCGAGGAAGTTGAAATGGAGCTTTTAATGAGTTGCTATTCTTATTGTTGAAAGAAGCAATCAATGCTGGTAGTATTATATTGAACTAATGATGTGAGTTTTAAGAATTTTATTGCGTAATCTACATATAGTTAAAGTAAAATAATATAATTTAACAAGTGTGGTGCCATTCAATATTGATTCTTGTTTATTCTTTTTAACGGTAAAAAATAAACTGGGGATGAACAAATTAGTCTTGGTGTTGACGTTGCGAGGATACAAGATTAAGACCAAGTCTTTATATTAGCAAGACCAAAACCGAACAAACAAGACAAAGACTAAAATCAAGACCCAGTTTGCAAGACCAGAATCAAATAAGCAAAACTAAACGAAAAATTATTTATGTTGCTATTTGTTCCCCAACAATTGTACATATAAAGAAATCAAGCTACATATGGGGCAAAGGTTTTTATTGATATGAGACCAATAGCCTACTTTTCTCGTCAATTATTAACCCTGAAGATGCCTCAAATAACTCCTTCTTACCCCTGGTTTTGTTGCTAATATGTCTCTAACTAATAAAAAGAGCTTTTTAAAACATTTTAAACGTTTTTATGTGACATTTTGGATTTTAATGCTTCATTTAGTTCAATTTGACTTAAAAATTCAACAAAATTTTGTCAAGAAACAACTGGAGAACAAGAAATTCACCTGACAGTGCTTTCAGTTTTTACAACGACCGATTACAAATATCTATATACTTAAAAATTTACTAAATTACTGGGTGTTGTGTGGAACATAGTAAATTTTTAAAGAATATTCATAGATCTAATAAAAACCAAGACTTTTAATAAACAGAAATTGAACTTTTGTGATAATTGTTTGAACCGAAGGCCACTATAAAAACTAATTAATTAAGTTCACAAACTAATGGAGATAACAAAACGCGATGGTCTACAAATAAACCAACTCATTAACGGGAATTAATTGAAACTTGTAGTCATTTGTCCTTAAAACCTTTTTAATTAAGTGGTTTTATTCGTTTTCCATGCGATAACATTGTAGCTGTCCTCTATCATTTCGTACTTCCCTTTCTAAGGTATAATGGCTTGCCATATATTAAAATTTCGATAATAAAAGTTGATTAACTTTAGTGGGAGTCCTTCATTAGCTAAAACAGGATAATGAAAGGGAAGATGTTTTGTTTGTATTGTGAAAAGTCTTTCTTATGTACAGCGAAATAAATTGTTGTTACCGCCTAGATCCATTAGTCTAGGCAAATAAAAAATGGACACTAAAAACCAACACGCTACATTTTTTTTTATGATGTGGTATATAAGGGATGCTTAATGCCTTTTTGGTTATAAAGTCATAGAAATCGAAACGACATCTAGTGGCACTGTAATTAATTTCTTACTTCATTGAAAAGGTAACAGAATTGGTTGTATTTTTAAGCGTAATGGGAAGACATTAAAACACTCTTTTAACGTAAGAAATTGTTTATCTTAATTATCCTACAAAAGAGTAATTTTCTTTTAGAGTGCAAATGAAAAAGTATTTTTGTGGATGGAAGATCGTGCTTCACCCTATTCTTTTTATAGTCCTGTTAAACCGTATAATAAAAAGATAAGAAATTAAATTACATGTATAAATGTCTTGAAAATATACGACTGCTGCAGCACCCCATTTCGGACTTCATTTACTTAAAAGCCCTTATAGATGTACGTGTATGGATAAGGCAAAAAAGTTTTCAATTTTGGAAAGCAACTGGGTCATTTGTAACAAGATTATACGGCTACAAGTTAGAAAATTTTTATCAAATCGGTTATTAAACTTTTACGACTCCTTTTTAATGGCAGATTAATGAGTCATGAGAGGAATTCCGATTCCTGGGAAACTACCATAAAATCTCTTTTACAGTTCCGCAACGTCTTACGTTATATTCGTCTGTAACTTTAAAACGACTGTGACAGGTTTTATGGCTTTTCGAAATCTCCCACTTTAAATGCTATCCTCAAAATTTTCATTTTATGGCCCAATTTACATTGCGCGAACATGCACACGGAAAACGCCAGCTTCTGTATTCCAACTCGAAATTACCCGCAATAAAATATTTAGCAACAAACAAAACCAGAAGTTGCCAATAACTTTTACCGATAAAAGAACAAAAAAGATACGGACGATTCTCTACCCTAAGGGCGAAAATCCACGGATTGCTTGGTTGCGCCACAGAGTTGCTTTCAATCAGAAGTCATTTATCTCTTATAGGTTTTAAGAATGCTTTCAGACGAGCGAGAGTGACGCGCGACCGTCGTGTACAGTCGTCAGACCCCGCATTTTGTGACTCGGACATTTTGACGCTTTGGAGACGACTCTAGACGTCGTAGCAAAACTGAAACAAAAAAATAAACTGTCCTGATTGGACCACATGTTGTTTTTCTTCACTGGTATATGACAGGCACTGATTCAAAACTATCCAGAAGTAAACACGCAGAGAAATAGGATTTTATTTAATTTCGATAAGCTTCCGTTATATCAGATGCAGAAGCGGATGTGAAAATGTATGCGGAACTTCCGTAATTGCGGAAGTGGAAGCAGAGGTCTGTTCCAACACTAGCACGAACCAATCCAACAAGTAATGGTAGCTTGTCGAGTTCACAATGATCTCTTATAATATACAGGAAGTATACAAGTTAAGTCCAAGAATTTTAAATTGCATTCCGTATCTCGAAGATAAATTGTGAAAAAACTTAACTTTTTTAATTAAATTCTATTCTATGAAGTGGAGTTATCGCTTCATGTACTGTGTAGTAGCGAAGTGTCATAACGGAAACAGAAGCGGAAACGGAAGTAAATAATAATTTTTTGCGGAAGTAGAAACGGAAGCGGAGGACTTGTTGAAAGAATAGTTTTTATATTCTACATTTGAAATAAATTGATAAACTATTATCTAAAAATTAAATTGTCTATTAATGAAGAGCTTTAAGTATTATTTAAAGCAGATTGTTTTATAAAGTTACTTTATTACTTTTTAAATTAGGTTGAGAGACCAAAAGTGTTCCTATTTTTACCTTTTTTTTAATATAAAACCCTAAATATATATATACCTATAATTTACAAGTAGTTAGTAGAAGTCGCCTTCTTATAACCTCAAAAATATTGAAAATTTAACCTAACCTAACCGGAAAAATATTTGAAATTTAGATTGATAGGTCAGTTTTGTTTATAGAAAAATAGCCTCCATCAACGGTGTGTTTTTGCAGATAAAAAATCTAAGTTTAAGAAAAAAGTACAAGATTCGTTGTTTTCGATAACTTAAGGTTAGGTACAGTTTGAATGCCATATGTCGTGTAGATTCCAAAATAGAAATTCAATTTGGATGTGTCTATATTTATTTATTTGAAACGCACTTAATTTTCTTTACGGAAAGTCCCGAATTCGATAAATTTATTTAGGGAAGCATATCAACGAATTTATTTTCTCCAGATGCCTGCACATATTTTTTACGGCTCTTACATTTCCTTTGGACTTTATGGGGGCTTTCGGAATCCCTTTTCATCAATCGATCACGTCATGTAACAACATTCGTATCACGACTTAAAGCTCAAAATATCTATGTATATCCCTATATGCTCGGTATATTGGGATACATACATGTATACACTAACTTATCTTCGAAATGCTCTACTACAGAATTCATGAGCAATATAAAACGGATACGTTAAGAAAACGAACGTCAGCAAGAATCCTCCTTTACCGAGAGAGAAAACTTTTTATGAGATATCAAAAGTCCTTCAAAGCGCCAAAGTTGCTTTTTCGCACTGAGCAACGAAGTAATTTCGTCCCGCACACGTCTACATCGTTCCTACGTACACACGAAGGGCTTCCACTCTTCCCGTTCGGTATTTTACTACATTACTAACGCTAGTAACTTTCCCTCATCGACTTTTTATACGCACACGGAGGCACGTAACGACCGACGTATGCGGTTAGAAAACATGACAAATTTTACGACGAAATTATTGGCTTGTTGTTGGAAGTATGCGATAGAATATTCAAAATGAACTAAAGGGAATATACAGGATAAGAAAGTAGGTAATGGTAGATACGTACGTATAGAAGCCTGAAGATTTGTAATCTTCTAATGGAAATTGAAAACCGAATAAATAGTATCTAGGCGATTGGAAATAAGTATTCAAAATGATATTCGATGCAAATTGAATTTTGCAATTTAATAAAAACTAGAATTCTAAAAACTTTTTTGATGTTTGAACGTTAGGAAGAACAAAAATACTGGTATGCAAAGGAAGAAAAAGCAAATATAAATATAGTAGACGAAAAATTAGAAGTTTAGGTATCTAGAAAGTCAGATAAATTAGGACGGATGGAGTATTGGGGATATAAAGCAGAGGATAGCGTAGGGTCGAATCGCCTTCGATGAAAAGAAGTCACTTCAACGTTTGCGAACAATTAATTTAGAAATTCGAAAAAGATTGTTNAGGATATTGGATGTTCTAGTTTTGGGGAAACTTTTCAGAAACAGTTAAAGATATGAGATGTTCTAGTTTTGGCGAAATGCGAAGATTAGCTCAGGATAGGAAAGAGCGGAGGTGAGTGTCCAATCAGTCTTAGGACTGATGACATTATAACGATGAATTACTAAGCATCTAGAGAATGAAATGTGTCATTTAATAATGATTGAAATACAACATGCGACTGCATCCAAAATTAAAATAGCGATTTGTTACGTAAAAATCCTTTTTAGAGATAATGATTTTTTAATTTAATTTTTTTTTATTCTACCAATTAATTCGTGTTTCATTTGTTTCAGGAACCCTGTGCACATTACGTTCGCCGACAGTTGAATGTGATGGAAAGGAACCTACTTTTAATTGATGTGATATTTTAGTGGCTCTACTTTTATATTCTAAATTGAATCCATGTAGAAATTTTGACTGTATTTTGCTTATTGTTACAAAGTAAGAACTGATAGCCTATTAATTACTATTACTAATTCCGATATAAAAGAAAAGAATCGTGGTATAACATTTAAAAATACCTACATCGTACATTAAATAATTATAATAATATTCACTGTGCATTCTCTTTTACCGATAATGATGCTGAACGCTTTTGGTTTTGTTTTGTTGTAAATATTTGTAATCTAAACGCATTTTCTAAGAGATGTAAAGTACTTATCTAAATTGAGAATGTTCAGTCCACATTAGAATGCAGCGCATCGACAAATTTCGTTGAAAGTGGGACACAAATTCGAAGTGCAAGGCTCTCACTCAGAATGCAGTAATTAAATTTTCTAGTGTAATTATGTTTGACCATTAAAGGACATTTAACCCTCTATACTTAATTTTATAGCTTTAATGCGACCGTAGAGGTTCGTTCTAGGTTGTACTATCGCCTGGCCATTACCAAATCGAATTTTACACTATGCCAAGCTCGAATTAAATCAACACGTTGGGCACCTAGCGGAATTAAATTTAATTAATAAACCACAATACCTAAAAAAGTTTTGAATAATCCACTTTATTTGATGAAATTGTAAATTTGAAACTTGTGTCGTCTTCCGCTATGTCAAATTACTTAGTATATCTTATAAAATGCAATAACGCTTGCAAAACATAGCTATACTAGACAAAAATTTTCAGTCTCTCTCCAGTCTCTCAGTCTTTCAGCATTTCTGAGGGCGTCTCTCACAATCTTTCACAGTCTCTTAGTTATTGCCAAGGTGTTTTTATGGATCTCTCACAGTCTCTCTATGAGAGACTCGAACAATAAAATTGTTAATTCAGAGATTCGAGTCTCTCACAGAGAGACTGAATGAATAAAACTGAAAAATTGAGAGACTCGAGTCTCTCGTAGAAAGACTGGGATCTCTGAAATATGTTGAACTTAGAAAGTTTTAGCCGTATCTATCGAGACACCACTTATTGAGAGATTCGAGTCTGTCATTCAGAGACTGAATACGAAATGAGGATCTCTCTATGAGCGACTCGAATCTCTCGTTCAGTTACGCTAAACAGTTTTTTTTGACAGTCTCTCGACAGTCTCTCTCAGCCACATCAGAGAGACTCGATGAGAGACGGAGACTCGAGTCTCGCTTTCAGAGACTCTGAGAGGCTGAACATTTTTATCTCGGGTAATGTAAAAAAAATTAGTTCCTATTTTCGGTTGTATCCTGCGGCACCACTAATTACATGAATCAAATGAGAAAAGACAGAAACTACAAAAATTGTTATGTTATTATGTCACAAGATGGGCGCTGTTAACCAAAACTTTTTAAACACTTAAAATTATAAGTCTAGTCCCTTTTCTATTCTTAGGAATTTTATTTGGAAGGGGAGTTGGGGGTAGCACGATACGAACGGTTTTATCTATAAAAAATGCAACGAATTTGTCGATGCTATGAATTTCAGACCAGGTGCGTACCCATAGTAGAATTATCTTATATTTTCCATCACTGACCTGAGCGAGACGTATTTCGTCGAGCACTTACGTTCCGTTTTCACTGCATCTTGTCTATGTGATGGACTTAATACATTCTCCTTTGACTTGAACCAAGAATAGGTCACATGATGTAAAGGATAAAATAATACGACTGTACGTTGTTTTGCCAAAACAACAATGTTAAGCTTGCGATTGCGACAAAAGTAGAATGCGTTTGTTCATAACAAAGGCAATTCTAGTTGCGATAAAGTTTGTTTCCAATATCGATGTCATTTCAGTTTTACAATCCTTAGCTACTGGTATCGACCATAAATCGTCAAATAGCGGTCTTAAACGCCTACGCTTTCTGAATGTTATCGATTGTGTCGGGTTGTTGTATTATTGCTTGGTTGAAAGAGTCGAACTTTGACCGATTTTTCAGCCCATTCCTATCACAATATAAAGAGAAAACAAAACAAAAATGTGTCGATAAAATACGATAACCGTTTTTGTTGAAATCAGTAGTATTATTTACAATAAGTATTGGCAACATTTTAAAACAAAATTGGGAAGCTTTCCAAGAAATAAAATTTTTACCTTTCCTATCTAATTAACTTGAAGTACTTTCTCCTGTGAAACGAATTTTGTTTGTTAATTAACAAGAATCATTAATAGTAAAAGAGAATGCAAAAAAGTTTTCCATGTCCGTTTAAAGAGTACTAAGTGTTTTCGATATTTGAATTGACGCTTCACGAGCTTATAAATTAAGTGTCTGTACATAAAGAAAAAAGAAAAGTTGATATTAATAAGTAAAAAAATAACATTCCTGTACTATGTATTATACCTATATGATATTAAATTTTACGGGTTATTTTTTGTTACTAGCAAGTTCACTGAAGAAAAAAATTGTAAGGAATGGTTTTGGTAGTGTTTTTATAATGAGTGAGAAGCGTATTTCTTACTTACAGAACTACCACAACGATATTACTATTGCTAGGTAACTACGTTATACTACTAGTTTCGAAACATGTACTAATTAATTTTACTAACTATGTATTTTAACTGCTACAACAAAAACACAACATGATTCCTGCTGTATAGCGATAGATATAAGAGTCAGTTGAATAATATTGTAAATATATTGTAAGATATTTCTTGATAATTCCAAAGCTACTTATGTGTATATAATATAATATGAAGACTATTATTATGCTTAGTCCCATTCAATAAAGTTATGTAATTGTTTTAATTATGGTTTTATTAACGACTCGAAAACAAATTTTTGGAACTATTCAATCAATAAGAAAATACCAAAGGCAAAAATTCCTGTAAATAAAGAAACAAAAGAAAAAATGAAACTCACCCTTACCAAGATCAGAATCTCACGGAAGCATATCAATTAGTCACCATCTGAAAATAATAAAATACGTAATATCTAGTAATAAGTAAATAAAATGTACAGTGATTATACATTTTTTATTTGTGTTTTATTTCGTCAACTTTTTGAAGAAAAATTTAAATAAAAAAAAAGAAAATAATAAATAAAAAGAAAGAACCCCCACGTTAAGTCGGCCAGTTAAGTGCAATACAATTTCTAAATTTTAATTAAAAGAACAAAGTTAAGCTAGTATTAAAAAGAAACGCACTTTTATAAGTTACAATAGCTATTCAGCTAAGGTTGTGATTATAATGGAGCAGTACAATGAGAGGATTGCGGTGCGGTTCGCATGGCGATAGCCCGCATTTAGAACAAAAACACGTGTTGAGACGGAAGTGTCTACCACATCGTAGAGCGGAAAGGATAGTGACGAAGAAGACGATGTACATATAACAGTTATGCAGGGACATGTTTGTTTCAGACAGAGGTAAAACTACAGCCGATAACTTTCGGTAAGTATGCACAATATGATCAAATTTTGACACTGACATTTGGAAATGCTGTCGAAGTTTGACAGAAAACAAATAAATTTAGTACCTTTGCCCCGATCATATTCATAAATAAAATATAATCGTACAGTTCTCATCCAGCTTTTTTTTTCGAGTTTTTCTACAGGACATTCTGGAATTGATTGGACGTTATTTCGTAAATTCGCCCTATTTTTCTACGAGTATCGCCTTACTGTACTCATTCGTTCATTTTGTGTCCTTATCACCTCTATCGGCGTCGCTTCAATATGATCTAAAGCAAAAGAACAATGATGTGCAAAACTTTAAGACGTTGCATTTCCCTCTGAAACTCCTATGACGTTGAGATGTTTTTTTTTGTCGTTTACTCGTATAGATGGATAGATTTGTCAGTGATACTAGGATTCTCCATTATCTTCTCCCCTTAAGGCTACAGCGGATGAAGCTTTAAGATGTTGTTGCCAAAAGCTGCTGCTGATTCCTTGGGTGTAATCTTAAAGGCAGCTCCACTATTAATCTCGATGAAAGACGCCACAGAAAGTGATAAATACCGTGCAGGAAAATTGTCTGGTTAACTATGATCAATACTTCACAGTAATAAATAATCGAAAGTAACCAAACAAAAACAAAAGAAAACCTACGATCCATTGATTATAAATTATAAAATAAAGAAAAGAAAAGACTGTCTGCTGCCTATGATTACGGTCAGAATAATATTTTATTCGATTCTAATGCGCCCACAGAGCTTGAGTTGTCTCTTTTTAAAAATATTCCGTTCGACATCCCGCCGGCGATTTTCATTATTTGTTTACTGGCTGATTAATAGTAAGAGGAAAAGTATTATATGAATACGATTGTTTTTTTTGTTCTTGTACATTGCCGTCCGCATTATCTGTGACGCGTTATGTCGCCCGATGACGCAAGAGGGGTGGAGGAGGAGGAGGGAGACATAGAGGGACACACATACACAAGAGACCCGGACGAATTCAATTAGTTTGATTTATGACTATCTTTGTTTCGATTACGGACACCCCTACATTTTTAATAGGTGTCATTGGTGACTGATACAAATGACAGCACGGCCCGAATAAAATACATCGCAGTCGCCGATACTAGCGCCAACAGAAGTTTCTTTCAAAGTATCGCTTTACAAATCGATTATACATAATGTCCAATAGCGCACGATCGTGTATCGGGTTGTTTGAATTTCAAATTTTGCTTGTCCCCTAACGAAGATACGATATCGTGACTGACGATTTTTGTTTCACATACTAAGTTATTATATGTTTAAATTCAAAGAGTACGTTAAATATTTAAAGTTAATTTTTCGCGACAGTCTACTCTATTTTACCTAGTATTTCTTTTTGTAATCCGGCTCGAAGGACCAAAGTTTGCTCGTAACTTCACGAAAAATATATACCTACAGGTAGATTGGAATCCGTCAAATGGGCATACACCACCTGGTAGCAAAACTCGTAACTAAAATGAAGCAGAAATATCCGAGGGAATGGTATACATAAATCGTAAAATTGTTTTTAAAATAATAAAACACGTTAAAAAAGTAAAAATTTTTTTGATGATGGAGTCGACGTTTTCTTCTAAAGTTAAATCAATTAAAAAGTTAATATGTTCAGTGAAAAGCTGCAATAGCGCTTCAGACATAGATCTTCACTCTTCACCTATATTAACTACCTTAATAGAAACTAATAGAAGCTTGGATGAAAGCACTAGGTATCCAAGAAGTGAATTCCGGAATAAAAATTTGTTCAAGTCATTTTAATGCACATGATTATATTTCAGCAAGTATTTACCATCAGCCATAACCTTAATATTTAAAACTAGAATCATACTAAAATTATAAAGTGAGAAATTATTTATTCCTGTGTAATTGATTTAACACAATTCTAATGATACGATATAAGTATTTTGAGGTTAAGAACCTACCTGCTGCAATACAAGAAAGTTCCAATAATGTTTGCAACGTTCTCTTAAATCGGCTTTGCACGTGCAAGTCATTGATATGATATTGCTTAAATCACCCAGAATCACCTCACCAATTATATAACGTGAATCACTTTTTAAATCCGAAGTTTGTAAAAAGTAGGCAGTAAACTTGACGGAATTTGAAGGCTAGCTTCCGGATTTGTTATTTCCGAATTTTATAATGTGATTGGCATTGAAAACACGCTCACCTTCAACGAAATTTCCTTTCCGAGGCTTTGTGTCAGCCCAATCACATATTGTGTCAATACTTATCATTTTATCGCAATTTAAAAACTTGGAAATTGCACGGTACACTATAGGAACTACGACAAATTTTCCCTAATCGGCGCCATGTTTTTAGGCTCCTCCCATTTGACGGATCCCAATAGT